TCTCTCAATCAAAAAATTAGCCTGGTGTGGTGGCGTGCATCTGTGGTTCCAGTTATTTGGAAGCTTGAGGCAGAAGGATTGCCTGAACTCAGCAGGTTGAGGCTGCAGTGGTCATGAGTATGCCACTACACTCTAGCCTGGATTACAGAGTGAGATTCTGACTCAAAAAAAAAAAGAAAGAAAGGAAAAAAATGTATAAAAAAATATACTCAATATAGACCAGTAACAAAAGAGCAACACAAGTCACGTCTGACTTCTGCAATGACAAGAGGTGCTCAAAGTGGTTCCAGCATCCAGACACTTCTGATGACAGTGAACTAAAAGTCATACACAGATAACATCTCTTAAAATGTGGATACATTTTGGCTCCCCCAGTATATAGAGCCTGGAGTCAGATTGCCTGGTCTTGTTTTCAGATCTGCGTTGTACCAGCTCTGTGACCTTGGGTGGGTCCCCTGCTATCTCCGTGTCTCAGCCATGTGATCTGTAAAATGAGAGTAAGAGGAACATGTCTGCCATGGCTTGAACGTGTCCCCCAAAGTGTTGGAACTTAATTCCCAGCCCACCAGTGTTGAGAGGTGGATCCTCTGAGGCCCTCATGAAAGGATTGAGGATGTTATCTGGGGAGTGGCTGGTTATGGTGGGGGTTGATTCCTCTCCCCTTCTCCCAATCTCAGATGTTCTGTTATTGCAGCACAAGACAGACTAAGATGATCTCTTTCAGCAACTTGGAGGGAAAAGTGAATTCATACGTAGAAGCCCTTAGAACAATGCCCAGCATGTGGCAAATGCTCACTGTTGGCATTGTGATGATTTTATTTCTCATGAGATTGTGTGCTGTCGGCCGCCTATGCTCTCTGTGCATAATCCCATGACAGTAATTGTACAATTTTAATTATTCAGTTAAGTGTGGTTTCTCACTGGACTGTGAATTCCTCAAAGGCATTGCTTGAATAAATGTCTCTTTCCTCAGTAATTGAATTCGTGCTTTCAAGCATATTTCCTACTTAGTATGTTTATATATTGGTAATCCAAGGGGCGAACTCTTAGGATTTCAACTGGAAAACAACATTATTATTTGGAAACTCTTTTTCTTAGGCTGAAAAATCCTTGGACCCAGAAACATGATCTTTTCTATAAACTCATGATGGCTCCCTGAGACTGCTGCTGGGGAACTTGCCTTATGGAGGTTCTGTCTTGTTCAAAAGGGTTTATAGAGCCCAGAGAAACTAGAAATATCTGAACACTGACAGTTTGATCAGAAATTTTTAGCAAAGCCTTGTTGCAAAACTTTGAGCTTTAGCAAAGACATTTCTGCCAAAGGGCCTTAACTCCTCAGAAGGGAGAAAATTAAGTCCAGTGAAGTTTAGACATCACAGGCACCCCGAGAAGCTGACCCAATGCTCCTGGTCTGCTTGTATGGGTTGACTTTGAGGAGAAAAAGACCATGGAAGAGATTTTTCTGTTGAGACCATGGAATGAAAGATAGAGTTGCCTTAGAAGGTTGTCTCCAGAGACATGAGGACCCAGAGAGATCTGGAAAGGCCAGCCCGAGCCCGGGGATGTGGAACCGAGTAGGGTGGGAATGGGGAAAGGATGGAGGCTTTGACCCCAACAAAAGGTGGTCACATGAGCCAATGGATTGAGCAGACAGACTCAAATTCTAGTTCTGTCCCTTTGTATCTGCACAACCTTCTTCTGGGCTGGATTTCTTTTTTTGGCAATTCAAGGACTTGACATAGATGATGTGTAAGGTTCTGTTTCAGCTGGGTGTGGTGGCTCACGCCTGGAATCCCAGTACCTTGGGAGGCCAAGGTGAGAGGATCACTGGAGCCCAGGAGTTTAAGACCAGCCTAGTGAGACCTCATCACCAAAAATCAAATAAAAAAATTAGCCAGGTGTGGTGTTGGCACCTGTAGTCTCAGCTATTCTGGAGGTTGAGGTGGAAGGATCACCTGAGCTTAGGAGATCGAGGCTGTGGTGAGCCATGATCATACCACTGCCCTCCAGTCTGTTTCTAGTGTTAAGATCTTAGCCCTATCTCTACAGCATTGGGTTGTGCGAGGTGGTAGTTACAGACAATCCTCCCATGCCATCACCCTAGACTTTTATCCCCAAACTGCTCTGTGCAATCCCTGGTTTGACCCCACCCACTCCCCACCCAACCTGCCCACTGGGCCTAGGGTGCTTCTCTCTGTTACCAGCAAGCTTCCAGAAGCCTCAGCCCCATCACCGTCTTGCCCCACTCACCAGCAACCAGCTTGTCCCTGGCAACCTCCCCAGTGGAGGGTGTCTATCCTCACCCCACATATATAGGGCCTGGAACGGGGCTCAGTCTGCTCTTTGCTCCATCGCCCTTCCATGCTGTCCCTTTCCTTCCACCTTCATAGCTTAGCTCCCTTGACGACCTCACCTCAGGCCATCTTCAGTCTCTCATCCTGTCACTGATGCTTTCAACAGACCAGCTACCTCCTCTCATTCACGGACAATGCCAGAGCCTGGCTCACTGGTTTTCTCTCTATCTCAATGTCTGTCACTATCTTTGGTGGCTTGAACAGCCGCACCGACAATTCTGGTGACATGGTAGCCTTTGGGTGTGTAGGCCACATCATTTCCTATGGTCCCTTCCTCACACCACACATACTCAAGTTTTGCTGACACATGGAGAATATGGGCTCAATGGAAGAGGTTCATTTATCTTCAGAATTTTAATACCCCTGATGAGAGTTCATTTTTCAGATTGGGACAGCTTTGTGTAAAAGAGGATGCCAAAATAATTAAAAGTACATTATTTTTGGAGTTGTTATTTTTGGAAATATTTATTTTCTTTTTATATTATTACTTTATATATTTATATTATTTATTTATTTTTACATTATTTTTGAAAATATTTACTTATTGATGACAGGTTGATTTTTACATGAAGGCCCCTATGAAAAAACTATATTAAAAATCATTTTCCAAAATAAATTTTTTCTTTAAAGAATAAAAATTTATCTGTGTACATTGAAGCAATGTTGAAAAACTTCTTTATGCTGACTATTTTCACATTCAAAAAAGTAGACAGAATAATTTTTCCTGGTCCTGGTTAAGTTTCTTAATTAGTTTCTCAGCTGAGGATGGTATTGATGGAGTGACACTGGTATCTTTCTGAAGAATTACCTTTTTAAAAATAGTTTTCATATTTTAAAGTTTTTGGACAACACTGCAATTGCATTCAAAGTAAATTTTATGACTAATAAATTTGAAGTTACTGACATCTTTAACTGAGTTCTGTAGAGAGGTCTGTAGACCAAAATAATTTTAGTTGACAATATAGTGTCTTTCCAGGCACTAAGACGTTTGGTGAGTTCAGTGTAAATTCTGCTGACTGAATAATATCCTCAGTTCTTTTTTTTTTTTTTAAGTTGGAGTCTCACTCTGTTGCCCAGGTTGTGGGTGGTTTTCTCACGGCCCCCATAGCCTCGACCTGCTGGTTTCAGGCAATCTTTCCATTCTAGTTTTCCAAGTAGCTGGAACCACAGGTGCACTCCACCACCCCCGGCTAATTGTTTTTATGTATTGTAGAGATGAGGTCTTGCCAAGTTGCCCAGGCTGGTCTCGAACCCCTAGGTAATCCTCTAGCCCTTGCCTCCCAGCACTTTCTGAGATTACAGATGTGAACCACTGTGCCTGGTTCATGACAACTCTCTCTCTCTCTCTCTCTCTTTCTCTCTCTCTCCTTTGGAGTGACAGGGTTTTTCTGTGTTGCCTAGGCTGGTCTCAAACTCCTAGGCTCAAGCAATCCTCCTGCATCAGCCTCCCAAAGTTCTGGGATTACAGCCATGGGCCATCATGCCTGGTTATATCGTTTTATGGAAATATTTTGTCTCAAGTATTGATGCAATTAATTACCTGTTGGCATCTGTTTAAAGTAGTATCCTTCAACATATACTTGTATAAACATAACCTAATAAAGAAGTCCTCTCTATTTATGGTTTTTTTGAGTCTTCTCATTCCACACCCATTTCACATCCTGATAAATGAGTCCTTGGAGAGGCTGGAAGTAAAAAGTGAGTCCTACCAAGCTCATCCCAGCTTATTTTAACACACCCATCAATAATAATATCTAGTTAACAAATGAGAAATTCAAGCTGAAAGCTAAACTAGATGAACCCTGGGCACCAACCATCAACAGGGCCACCCAGGCAGCAGCTGTACCACAACCTCTCGCATGGTCCAGTGGCTTTCAATCCTGGAAGGGTATAGACATCACCAGAGAGCTCTTAAAATATGCTCCAATCCCAATCTCACTGGTGTTGGCCTGGGAATCAGCATTTCAGTCTTCCCAGTGATTCTAACATATAGTCTGCTGCACCATCTTTTTTTTAATGTAGAAAGGAGAGCTTTCTTTCTCATAAAGGGCTGCAGTCTGCAGGTGGCCGTGCTAACAGGCTAGGAAGCATAGCCTCCCGTCAGAAGCTGGAAACATGCTCTGAGGAAGCGACCAAAGCAGCAGGAGCTTATACTGAATGGGGTAGCCAGATATACATATGCAATAAGTATAGGGAGGAGTCATGAATATTCATGAGAGGAGAAACAAATGCACATGCAATTGACCCATGCCCCTTCATGGGTCCTGTGTTAAAAAAATGGCGGCATGAGTATGATGCCAGGGTGGGATTTTTAACTCTCTGACATCAAAAGGTAAAGCAGAGTGCAAAAACCCTCACTGCATATCTGCTGTTGACTGGCCAGCCCTTCTCTGAGGCGGGTGGTCTCTTGTCAGGCAAAAAAGGAGGGACAGCAAGGTCGACTTGGCCCTCCAGAGCCAACTACCCCAAAGCAATATGTTGCCGAGTGTTGGTGGGTGCAGACCACAGGGAGGTCAGCAAGTCAGGACACACTCTGTCCTGCACATTTTCTCTGTACCTACACAGGGGGTTGTCACCTTGGTCAGGCATGAGCTCACACAGGTGCCCCGCCACAAACCCTGTGCACACCACACATGATGCAGAGAGTTGCATGTAATCCTTGGAAACATTTAATTGAGCAACTCCTACACCATCATGACAAAAATGAAACTTGCTGAGGGTTACAGAGTTCTAAAGAGAAATAAAAATAAAAAGTCTCACAGAAGCCCCAGTTAAGCCTGTCCTAAGTGCTGTGCTCTATTCTGAACATTTATTTTGAAAACAACTGTCAAAATGTAACATCCCAGTACCCTCAAAATGATTTGCCATTATGACTCACTCTACACATTTGTGATTACCTTTCTAATTCCAAGTTCTGAAGTATGAAAAACCACGACAGCAAGGAATAACAACGCGTCTATTTCCCCAGCCCTGCCCTAGCCCTGCTGCCCTGTGTGTGTCCCCAAAAGCTCACGGGGTGTCCAAAGAGCCAGCCGTAAAGCGGTATTCGCTGGTGCTCTGGCTGCTCTGAACTCAGTTCCGAGGCTGGGAGTTGAACTCTGTACAAATGTTCTGGATGATCCTGGGGACATATTGGTAGAGGTTGTCAAACTCATCCACAAAGAAGGAGTGGTCCTTGGCGGGGTGTGTAGCAATGACTTCCAGCTCGTCCTGGGCAGCCCATGCGACGCCTATCGCATAGGTGATCACACCTGTGGGGACAAAGAGTAGATGACAAAATGTCCCCAAGAAAAGGTGCCGCGAATGAAGCCCCTTCTTGTTCTGCTGGCATGACCGAATCCCAGATCAGACGCGTGACAAAAACCAAAACAAACAAATCCTACAGTCTTTTGATTTCCAGAATTAAGACTACAGTGGTCATCCATCCATTCACTCAATAAATCCTTTTGAACATCCACTATATAACAGTCACAAAATTAATATAGTCTCTATCTCAGGAGTTTATAGTCTTTTGGGAAAAAATAAAAAAGAACAGAATTGAGTAAATACATGGAAGGAATTTCACGTCCAGCAGAAGAGAGGAAGGACATATGGGGACAAATGACACTTTTGTGCCATGTGGGTCACACTGCAGGATGCATGCCTACTCGGCCAGTGTGGAGAGCCAGAAGAGATCTCAGAGTGTCTTCAATGCATCAAAAGCAAGTTCAGTACCAGGTGCAGTGGCCCATGCCTATAATCTCTGTGCTTTGGTTTTTTTGTTTTGTTTTTGTTTTTTTGAGTTGGAGTCTTGCTCTGTCCCCTAAGCTGGAATGCAGTGGCACACTCATGGCCACCCCGGCATTGACCTGCTGGGCTCTGGCAATCCTTCCGTCCCAGCCTTCCAAGTAGCCGGAACTACAGGCACATGCTACTATGCCTGGTTAATTTTTGATTTATTGTAGAGATGAGGTCTCACAAAGTTGCCCGGGCTGGCCTCAAACCTGCAGACTCAGGCAATCCACTCATCTTGGCCTCCAAAAGTGCTGGGATTACAAGTTGGGCCACCGAACCTGGCTGTCTCTGTGCTTTGGGAGGCCAAGGCAGGAGGATGGCTTGACTCCAGGAGTCTGAGACCTGCCTGGGCAACAAAGAGAGACCCCATCTCTAAAAAGCCAAACAAACACAAATCCCAGAAGAAAATAGTTCTAGATCTTTTTAACTAAAACAGTGGAATCGAATCACTTTAGGCTTGAGGATGATGTTATAAGCTGTGGAATCCAGCCTCATTTCCGGTGCAGGAATCCTCGCCCCCATACCCAAAGAGATGGTCACCCCACATCTGCTTCATCATTGTCATAAAGCTTTTCAAGATAAGGAAGGAAGTGCTCTTCAGGGGGGAGGTCATGCAAAATGAAAACAAAAAAGTACTCAGTGGATTTAGGACAAGCACAACAAATCCAAGACATCAGTGACTGAGTGAGAGCAGGTTTAGGGGAGGAGACGCCCAAGAGATCACACGCAGATGTGGAGTGGGCACAGAGAGCCGTGGTGTCCTGATGTTTGACTGTGAAGGGGAGGGGACAAGTGGAAAAGGTCGAGGGGAATATTTTAAGTGAGAGACTTGGGGGGGGATCAAAACGCAATTGAGCAGGGCATGGTGGAACTGGGGGTGTTGGATTGCACAGGGGAGTCGGAAGCCCCAGGGAGGAGAGAACAGGAGTCAGAGACAGGCATCCATTCCTATGGGAGAACAAGGACACTGCCTGGGGTTGACTCCTGATTTGGGCTGAGTAGCTCCTCAGCAGGTCTTAACGCCTTACCCCACAAAAACCTATTCCCATACCACTTTTAGATTGGTCCGAGTGGGGTGAGCAAAATGGCCATGAAACAGTGGCCTCTGTCCCCTGGTCCCCCCACAGTGGGGTCACAATCTCAAGTATTTTCTGGGTGCCCTGTTGCCTCACCTGTCCTCTGATTTTTTTTTTTTTTTGAGTTGGAGTCTCACTCTCGCTCAGGCTGGAGTGCAGTGGCACGCTCACGGCCACTGCAGCCTTGACCTGCTGGGCTCAGGTGATCCTTCTGCCTCAGCCTTCCAAGAAACTGGAAGCATCAACATGCCCAGCTCATTTTTTTTTTTTGACTTATTGTAGAGATGAGGTCTCGCTAAACTGCCCAGGCTGGTCTTGAACCCATGGGCTCAGGCAATCCTCTCACCTCGGCCTCCCAAAGTGCTGGGATTATAGGCGTGAGCCACCATGCCTGGTGACGTTTTTTTTAATTAAAAAAAAATTTTTTTTGGTAGAGATGGGGGGGGGTCTCACTATTTTGCCCAGGCTGTTCTTGAACTCCTGACCTCAAGCGACGCTCCTGCCTTGGCCTCCCAAAGTGCTGGGATTATAGGCATGAGCCAGCCCAGCCTCAAATTCCCTTTTAAAGTAACCCACTCTCGTGGGAAATGCCTCAGGGTGCAGGATGTAAAGGAAACAGCGTCCCCAGACACCCACAGGCCTTGGGTTTGTGATGACACTTTGGAAAGGACCTTGCTGTCCCTGATCGTCCTCTTTCGGCTCAGAGGGGCCTCAGATGCTCCCAGGGCCTTGAACCTTTTCTCAAATCACAGACAAAAGCAAAGCATGCAGAGACAGCACCTCCCTCTCCTGTGGCCCACCATGCCTGGGAGAGCCCCCTCAGCCGATCGGGAGGCCCAGCTGCTCACCCCTGAGATGGGCGGCCATGGCCGGGATCCGCACATCGTCATAGGACCGTCCGTCGGTGATGAGGACCATCAGCTTCCTCTTATTGGGCTTGGACTTCTTGAAGAGCTGCTCCAGCGCATAGCTGATGGCCGCCCCCGTGCTGGTGCCCCCGCTCCAGTAGCCCACCCTTTTGATGGCGTTGAGGAGGTCAGCTTTGCTGCTGTAGGCGTCGAACCCAAACTCCAGCCGCTGCTCGTAGGTGTACTGCACGGCCCCCACGCGCGTGTCTGTGTCGGAGATCTCGAACTCCTTGCTGAGGTTGGCCACGAACTGCAGCACCGTGCGGAAGTTGGTGGTCCCCACACTGCTGGAGCCGTCGATGACGAAGCCCAGGTCGGCCGAGTTGAAGCAGGTCTTGCTGCAGGCCAGGCGGTCCGCGTCGCACACGCGTTTCACCAGGGGCTGCAGGGTCTTGTGGAGGCCGAACCAGCTCTGCACGTGCAGTGAGTAGAAGCCGTTGGTTCTGCACACGGCCTGGAAGGCAGAGGGGTAGAGGTCAGGGCCGAAATCCCAGGGCAGGCAGAGAGGCCAGCAGACCCTGGTTCGCTGTAGATCTCTGCTGCAGTTCACCAGTTAGGCCCTGGTGGAGGCCCCTGGGTTATCCCTGAACTTACCCCTGCCCCTTCAGGGAGCCTCTGCCTACAGGATTGGAAAGCTGTCTGCTAAGCAGATTCTTGGGGATGTTAAGTCACGGATCTCAGCTTCCTGTTTACGCCTCTCCAGACCTCTCCACACATTGTCCTGGCAGCCATTTGGAGTCTTGCTCTGTCACCCAGGCTGAAGTGCAATGGCATGGTCACTGCTCACTGCAGCCTCGACCTCCTGGGCTCAGGCAATCCTTCTGCCTCAGCCTCCCAATTAGCTGGGACTGCAGGTGCCACTGCCACACCTGGCTAACTTTTAAAAAAATGTCTTTGGTAGAGAAGAAGTCTTGCTATATTGCCCAGGCTGATCTGGAACTCCTGGCTCAAGCAATCCTCCTGCCTCAGCCTCCCAAAGTGCTGGGATTATAAACGTGAGCCACCATGCCCGGCCCAGTGCATGATTAAAGAAAGTCTTTGTTCTTGTTGGGAAAACAGAGGGCATACACAAGAAATGACTGAATAAATGTTTCCAGGGCAGCCCTGCACCCAGTGGGAAGGGGTCCCACAGTTGCCAAATGACCACGTGTTGGGGGCCCATGAGATGCTCTTGGAATGAGCCTCTGCTACATTTTCACCCTGACCCTGCAAGGTGGAATTAAACCTCTGCCATGAAGGCACATGTCGAGGGCCGCTGAGAAGGGACTTCCCTGACACTGGAACACAGATCTGTCTGTCTACACAACCCAAGCTCTGCCCTCAGGACAACTTTGTTTCTGAGCAAATGAATAATCATTTCCTTGCGCCTCAACTTTTTCCAGAAAAAAATTAAGGCAGCTGCAGATGAACATGGAACCTCTGGCTGCTGTGCCCCTGAGAGCTGGGCTAACGACCCCAAGGTGTGGCGTTATCTCATGCCCCAGTCTTTGGGTCACAGGAAGAGTCAGACCTGCTAACGACTGATGGACTTGTGTCGTGAAGTGAGACAAGAGATAGCTTAAAACTTTCCTAGGAAATATTTTTTGTTATTGATCTGTAAAAACCTAACTGGGGTTCATGAGGCTGCACAGAGTAGGTGGTGTGAGCGGAGTGTAGATACTAAACTGAATTCCAGCCAGCGAGGGAGGGGGTTCCCGCCAGGCAGCATTGTCATGGCTGGGGAGGGTGGGGGTACTGGGTGTGGATGGGAGACCAGGTGATGGGTACACAGGGCCAGCTGGGTGAGGGGTCACAGCAGATTAGCTTGAAAAGGGGAATGGTCCTTACCCCAGAAGGCCTCAAGAGAAATGGGGAACGAGGAGGGTTTTGAAGCAAGAACCCCACGGGGCTGGGGGAACCCGTCACAAACAGGAGCTGAGCTTCTGGGAGCCAGGGGGAGATGGACAGATGCAAAGTCCTGGCTGGATCAGGCAGGTGGCATCGGGCGGGAGAAAGAGTCGAGAGACAGACAACGTGATGTGGGGGCCGACGAGGGGCTCTGGGGGGCACTGCCCTCGGATGGTGTGGGCCATTCCCTCAAAGTCTAGAGGAGGACACGGTTGAGGTGGAAGAGATGAGGACCTGGCTTGTGATGGGGACGATGATAGAGTATCAGGTGGAAACAGAGTCCGGGAGCTCGGAAGAAGGCCAGATCTGTGGCCCTGGGGGGATCTCTGGGAGGAAGAAGGCCCATGAGGGAAGAGGAGCGGCCAGGGTTGGGACCTGGGACGTCTACATTTAGGACACATGGCGGAAAAAAGTAGAGCGCTGATGAAGTCAGAGCCACATAGCATCCTGGGAGTTCAGGAAGAGGGGATGAGGAACAGGAAGTGGGCGGGGGCTCCAGATGACACAGGAGGTTGAGCCCTGTTGGCTCTGAACATATAGAATATTATTATTATTTTATTGTATTTTAGATTCGGGGTACATGTGCAGTCTTGTGACACAAACCTGGTCTTGAACTCTTGGCCTCAAGCAATCTTCCCACCTCAGCCTCCCAAAGTGCAGGTATTATGTGATGGCAACATTTGGGCTTCTATGAACCCATCACTCAGGTGGTGGGCATGGCGCCCCACTGATCGTTTTCCAACCCTTTTCCCCACTAGTGTCTACTGTTCCCGTCCTCAGGCCTGGGTGTACCCAGTGTTTAGCTACTGCTTATGTGTGAGAACATGCCATATTTGATTTTCTGTTTGGGGGTTGATTTGCTTGGGATAATGGCCTCCAGCTGTATCCATGTTGCTGCAAAGGACATGCTTTTGTTGTTTTTAATGGCTGTGTGGTATTCCATGACAACATGTAGACTACTAAAGCTGGAGGGGCTTCAAGAACAAACCTGCCTAAGGCTTGCTTTCTTTTTTAAAGCTGGAGGCTTTTCTGTGGAGGAAGGTTTGTCTGGAGTCACACTGCAGAAAACACAAAAGCGGAGCAGCTTCTATGGAATGGGTACTGGGTAGGGGTCCTAGACCCCTGCTTGTCTCCTCCCCATCTCCTGCGGGGCAGCTCCATGGAATCCAGGTGGAAGGTCTAGAAACATAATCTTACCGGTCTGGTTCAATGTCTCTTTCCTCCTGTTTATCAGATTGATTCCTTTGCAGTACGTGTGTGTGTGTGTGTGTCTATGTGTGTTGAAAGAGAATGCTTGTATGTGCACAAGATGGCATATGTACACACGTGTGTGTATCTGTTGTGCATGAAGCCTCCCTGAGCTGTCTGGGTGAGGCCCCTGGGGGCTGTGGGCGGAGCAAGGGAGAGTCTCTGGGTTGCTACCTTGGGGACACTGCCCCTGTCCTCTCCCTTCACACCGCAGGCCCCTGATGGGTGTGGGTTTTGCTTTGAGGAGGTCATTTCAGGTTCCAGACTCCTGGTCCCTACTGCCTTGAAGCAAGCATCACACACATTGACAGGAAGGAGAAAAACCACCTTGAGGGCGTTGCCACTTTTCAGGGTACAGGGAATCCTGACATGGAGCAGGGAGGGGCATCTCTGGGCAGTCACATACCTTGTTTGCGAAGTTGGCCTCCACCAAGTGCTGCTTCTCACTCTCAGCCGCACCCTCGATGGTGATGAAGAAAATGTTGATCCCCGACTCTCTGGCAAGTCTCGAAGCCTCCTCCACTTTGTCGGTGGGCCAGCCGTCCACCATCACCACTGCCACGTTGGGCGCACCACCTCTGTTTCCATTGGCTTTGGAAAAGAAGTTCTTGGTCACAAAGGAGATGGCCCGGCCTGGAAGAAAAAGAAAACTCATGCCTTGCCTGGGAACGGTGGCTCATGCCCGTAATCCCTGCACTTTGGGAGGCTGAGATGGGAAGACTGCTTGAGACCAAGAGTTCAAGACCAGCCTGGGCAACATAACAGGACCCTCTCTCTACAAAAATAAAAAATATAACAAAGAGAACTCATTCCTGGAGGGATCATGCCAACTACAAACAGAAGAACAGATCACAGCAGCACAAAGAGATCAAGAAAAACATACTCATTCCCTCCCCAGTTTGTTGGTTTCCTTAAAAATCCACTCTAACTCTTCTTAGACAAGTCAGTGGCATTAAGTATGTTCACAATGTTGTGCAACCATCACCACTATCCATTTCACATTCGTTTCAAGCCCTTAGCTTGTAGTCGTCTCTTGCTTTGAAGAAAGTTCTAGGGACCAGTAAGTAGGTGAAAGAGGCTTTTATGGGAACAAAGGGTCCCATCTCTGTCTGGGTGCTGGACTCATACTAAGCACCAACACTGGTGTTTCTGAGAGTGCGGGGCAGGAGGTGTTGACCTGCAGTGACAGCAGCCTGTCTTGGTCCCTTGCAGCTGGGGCGAGCCCAGAACCCTAGCAGCTTCTGGCTGTGGAGGGCTGTGTTCTGGGGTTGGTGATGTCTCTTCTTCAGTTCCAGGTCACAGGGCTGGCAGGCCAGGGAGGGGCTGTACCCATGAGGAACTGAGAAACAGGGCTCTAGCCCTGGCTATGCTACCCACTGGCTATGTGGCCCTGAGCAGATCACTCTAGGTCTCTGGGCCTAGATTTCCATGACAATGATCTGCTTCAGCTGAGTGTAACAGTCATGAGGTGCTACAGAACCTCTTGACATGCCAATATAATTTTTATGTTTGTTCCCTCCGAATCCCATGTTGACGTGATCCCCAGTGTTGGAAATGGGACACAGTGGGAGGTATTTGGGTCATGGGGGTGGATCCCTCATGAATGGGTTGGTGCTATTCTCGCGGTAATGTGTGAGTTCTCGCTCTATTAATTCATTGGTTGTTTAAAAAACCTGGCATGTCCCTTCTCTCTTGCTTCCACTTACACCATGTGACATGCCTTCACCCTTTCCCCTTCCGCCACGAGTGTAAGCTTCCTGAGGCCTCACCAGAAGCAGGTACCAGTGCTATGCTTTATAGCAATGCAAAATGGAACTACTTTACTTTTCCCAAGTGCAGACTTCATATTGTGAAGGGCCTCAGGAAATTTTCAGAGTGAACTGGGATGACAATCAACTGTCCCAGTTTGCTAGGACTTGCCTAGTTTTAGCACGGAAAGCCCTAGGTTCTCCTGGGAAAACTGGGATGACTGGTCAACCTAGAGTCATCATGGTTGCAAATATAAGGCAGTATTCTGAACCTGGGCTCTGTGAACCCTGGTGCTTGGGAGTGCATTCACATTCCCTAAAATTATACACAGCCCTTCATGTATTCAAGTATCTATCTGGACAAAAGGGCCATAGCTTTCATGGGCCAAAGGATTCTCAAAGGAGTCCTCAATCTCAATAAGTGTTTAAAACCAACTTCTTTAGACTTTACTATTAATATTATTACACTCAATGCATTTCTGGCTTGGGCCAGCATCCTGTCTCCACTGGCTGGTATACTCTTATCTGTCAAGTGAAAACATCACATGGTTACATATACAGTTGCTGGAGAAATGTCCTGGAAAATGCATGTGAACTGGCTGCACATACCCTGGTTGCTAAAGGAAAACCTTAGCTGCTGAGACTGCTTTTATAGCCAAGGGATAATTTTCCTTAAGGCCTAAAGCACCCAGCAGTCCTCTCTGGCCTAATAGTAGGCACTCATAGGCAGAGTACCAGAAGCCATGAGATCACCTTGATGCCATCTAACCTTAAATATGAAGGCCCTGATGAAATAGTGCTCAATATGTATCTACCTTCCAGTGGGGCTTGGAAGTGGAGGCTAGAAATTAGAAAACTACATTGTCTAGACTCCCTTGCAGCTAAGGTTCTAGCTCTGTTTTAGTTCCATGAATTGATGCGTGAGATTTAGAAGATAAAAGTGAGGCAGACGCAGTACTTTTGTTTGTATTTCTACTGACAAATATTTATTGAGTAGTTGATTTTTCTGGGGCACTGTCAGTAGGGTGCTTGGGCTTGGTGGCTGGCTTCAATGGTGTGGAGCTGGTAGGGTGGGAAGCATGCAGCTTGTGGGTACAAATGGGGCAGGTAAGGGATGGTTCTGACAGCTCTAGCAGAAGCTTTCTGATCGTGGTGGCTTTCTGGTTGAAGCAGTTCTGCTGTGGCAGAACTCAGAAAGTGATTTCCTGATCTTGGAAAAGGTAGAAGCCCCCTGGGAGACTCTGGTTCTGCACAAAGACTTTAAAGGTCATCTCTGAGGCCAGGCTCAGTGGCTCAGCTTGTAATTCCAGCACTTTGGAAGGCAGAGATGAGTGGATTGCCTGAGCCCACTGGTTCAAGACCAGCCCAGGCAACTTGGCGAGACCTCGACTCTACAATAAATAAAAAAATTAGCCAGGTGTGATAGCGTGCACCTGTAGTCCCGGCTACTTGGAAGGCTGAGATGGAAGGATTGCCGGAGCCCAGCAGATTGACACTGGGGTGGCTGTGAGTATGCCACTTTGCTCCAGCCTGAGTGATGGAGTGAGAGTCCAACTCAAAAAAAAAAAAAAAGTCATCTCTGAAAGCTCAGCATACAGTTTGCATCTCCAATCTTTTGAATAATTCAAAAAACGATTTAACACCCTAAAGTAAATTCCTTTCTGCTGGAATCAGTTGTATAATTCTGTTCCCTGAATATCCAGACCCTGAACAATACAGAGGCAGAGCTAGAACATGTTATCCACTGAAAAGGGCATGCTGACTGGATCAAGATGCCCCTGTAATCTCATCAGGGCAAGTGTCTTCTGAAGTTCTTCTCCACTGGAATTTTGTATCAGGTTGAAAACAAATCAGGGATCAACTGTACCATGTTTTTGATGAAGGTAACACCAGTGTGAGGGTGGTGACTCAGCTAGTGTTTTTATTTATTTATTTTTAGCATTGCTCAAAGGTGAAAGGCTATGCATTTGCCAGATACTAATGTTCTGGTCATTCCAGAGATGGACACTGAGGTGAAGAGGAAAGTAATTAACCAGATTCACTGTAACTCCAAGGACAGTTGCTCAAAGACAGCTCAATTCCCTGCATGCGCTCTAAGCCAAGCCATGTAGCTCACAACTCCATTCTTTAGATTTTGATGGTAGGGACAGGTTCCCTAGGAAATGGATGATCAGTACCCACCACTGACAGTGCCCTCAAAGCCAGGCCACCATTTATAAGTTAATAAATTGGCATGGGCTCTTTGACAGCTTTGAGTTTGATCAGTGTGAAACTGTTTCCTAATGCCCAGTCATCTTTGAGTAAACATAAAATGGAGTTTCTAGACATGCCTGCTGAGCATGCATTTCTGGTGACCCTCTCCAAGGGCTCAGACATCATAAGAGACACAGCTTGAAACATACAACTTGTCTGTCTTTTCACAGTCATCGCCACAAAAGCAGCTGATTGAACACGATTCTCCAGGGACTCTGAGGGGCTTCCTGAATGGAATTGGTCTCAAAAGTTCATGTTAAATAGCTGATGATAGCTGGGCATGGTAGCTCATGCCTACAATCCTAGCACTTTGGGAGGCCAAGGAGGAAGGATCACTTGAGGCCAGGAGTTCAAGACCAGCCTGGGCAAAGGAGCGACACCTCGTCTCTATAAAATAAAAATAAAATAAATTTAAAAATTTTTTAAATAGCTGATGACTTGTAGGCCAACCAGGAAGTAGTCACAACAGCAGTCCTGCTTGTTCTGAAGTATGTTGGCCACCCCGCCAAGGAACCAGCATACTGAAATACACGTTTCAGTACGCACATTTCTAAGAGTCTTGCCTCCAAAGCCAGATTAAAACTTTAGTAACGATAAGATGTTATGGGGGTCATGTCTTGAGAGGCTATTATTATTATTTTTATTATTTTTTTCCCTCTTTCTACATAGAATGTTAAAAGACAATAACATAGAAAAGAAAAACATAGTAGCAAGAAAAAATTATTTGAACCCCGATCACATACCTACATTAGAAAGCCCTCCTCTCTGGGTAATTTTCTCGATGGCTGTCTTCAGATCTCGGGAATTTGTGTGAGCCTTGAGGTTAAACTGGGGAGCAGGGTTGTCTCTGAAGAGTCAGAACAAGAAATAAGAGTTAGCTGGAAAGTTATTAACTTTGGAGAAAGGCAGAAATCATGGTTGATCCCTTTATTTACAAATAGAATGCAAGCTGCTTTAAAGCCTCTTTCTGAAGTTTGTAAAATGTCCCCCTGTGGACTGGTGTATGCAGGGAAAAGTAGGCTGATTCAGGATCCAGAAGGCACATGTTCTACTTTTGACTGTGTTGTTTCCTAGCTTCTTGAGAAGACACTTAACTTCTCTGGGCTTCAGTTTCCTCACCTAGATAAAAACATCATCATAACATCTATGTTACTTATACACAGGACTGTTATCTGGCAGGATTTTGCAAATGTAAGGACTCCATCTACAGAGTGCCTCAGCGTCCCCTGGCCACCCCAGACCCTCCTTTCCAGGAAGAGAATTGCAGTTATGGGCCAATCCCTGGGTCGCCCTCGGCACTGAAATTGCCTTGAACCAAGGACACCACCCTATCTTTCTCGTCTTGTGGCTTCTGTGACTGGGTGAGATTACTCAGACACACCCAGAAGGTCAACAACTATTTTACTGAAGACTGAAAAAGATTAACCAGGAAGGAGTTGGCGTGAATTTAGTGGAAAATCACAATAAGACTCCCTTCTAGACTCATTCTAGATAAGTCTTCCTTGAGCAACTGAGTGGGGATGTGGAGGCACACAGAGGGTGGGTGTGTGTGTACCGCAGGATGAAGGGGGACGTGCAGTGAGATCACACTTCATGAAGCTCTGACACTCAGATACGAGGAGGGCTGACATCGTGGGCTGAGACCTGTGCAGCACATGGGGCCTGGAACTCCAGAAAGCGACTCACCAAGAAAGATCCGTACTTGGTTTAATGCCCTGTGGCTGCAGTCCTGAAAGACTTAATCATTTTTGAACAAGGGGACCTGCATTTATGTAGCCAGTCCAGGCTGCAGGCTAACAAGTCCAAAAAAGGGAATAAGGAGAATAAAAGAAGCGTTTCTGCAAACACCACAAGCAGATCCAGGAAGAAGCAGCGTCGAGAAGATTTTTTTTTGGGGGGGGGGCGCTTCTAACCTCAACCCTTACCCTAATCCTAACCCTACCCTAACCCTAGCCCTAACCCTAACCCTAACCCTAACCTGGGGGGGAGGCAGCAACGGATTGTTAGTGAGTCCTTGGGGACCAGGACCTGGAGAGAGGAGGCAGTTTCTGTCTCCCTCCCTCCCATCCCCATCCCTATTTTCCAACCCTCCTATCTATCCCAATGTGATCTGTGTGATGCCTTGAAGGCTTATCTCAAAGGTAAGTGATGAAAACACCTTTAGAAGCCGGCTCGATGGCTCAGCCTGTAATCCTGCGCCTTTGGGAGGCTGAGGTGAGTGGAATGCCTGAGCCCACGAGTTCGAGACCCGCCTGGGCAGCGAGACCTCATCTCTACAATAAAATTTTTTTAAAAATTAGCCGGGTGTGGTAGCGCGTGCCTGTAATTCCGGCTACTCAGAAGGCTGAGGCAGAAGGATCGCTGGACCCCAGCAGGTCGAGGCTGCGGTGGCCGGGAGCGGCCACTGCACTCCAGTCTGGGCAACAGAGTGAGACTCCAACTCAAAAAAAAAAAAAAAAAAAAAACACCTTTAGGAAAGAGAGAACGTTTATTTTTGTTTTTGAGTTGGGGTCTCTCTCAGTCACCCAGGCTGGAGTGCAGTGATACGATCGTGATTCACCACAGCCTCAACTTCCTGGGCTCAGGTGATCTCCTACCTCAGCCTTCCAAGTAGCTGGAACTACAGGTGTGCATCACCACACCTGGCTAATTTCTAAATTTTTTGCAGAGACGAGGTTTTGCTATGTTTCTCAGGTTGGTCTCAAACTCCTGGCCTCAAGTAATCATCTGCCTTAACCCTAAAAGTGCTGGGACTGCAGGCACGGGCCACTGAGCTTAGCCAAGATAGAGGAAATTTAAAACAAGGCCAACCATGCCCAGCTCATACCTGTAATCCCAGCACTTTGGGAGGTGGAGGCGAGAGGATTGCCTGAGCTCAGGGGTTCGAGACCAGCCTGAGCAACATGGTGAGATCTCGTCTCTCCAATAAATAAAAATATCAGCTGGGTGTGGTGGTGCATGCCTGTGCTTCCAGCTACTTGGAAGGCTGAGGCAGGAGGATCACCTGAGCCCAGCAGGTTTAGGCTGGGGTGGCCGTGAGCATGCCACTGCCCTCCAGCCTGGGCGACAGAGTGAGATTCCGACTTAAAAATAAGTAATAAATAAATAAATAAGACAGGGCCAACCAAAGTGAGGCATTGAGGCAAAACTCAATCAGATGGAATTCCACCAGATGAAAACCAAGCTCAATGGTTAGGATGAAAAACAAACAGCAAATAAACAACAAAGCAGTCAGCAGGATGGGGAAACAAGGGCGTTGAGTGGAGTGTGAGCTTACTGTCATCTACAGTTTGAAGCATCCTGACCTGAGGCTGCAGTCAGAAGATCAGGTAGGAGTCACACAGAGAGGGAGCACTGTGGTTTTCACTTCTAATCTTTCCCTCAGGCTCAAGGGCCCAAGGGTTCAAGGGTTTTTTACAGAGCCATTTCAGTCGGTGTTGTGTTCTCCTCCAATCCATCTAGGCAAAACCCTGGACTCCATCTTGATTTACTCCCCAACCCTCAGGCCCTGGCTGCTCCTCCATAGGCATTATCTCGCTTTTATTTCCTCCTCTGTTTCTATGGCGACACCAGAGTTCAGGCTCCCTTGCTTCTGACTGATTCTAAGATTCTCTGTGTGGGTCTCTGCAAAGCCAGTGATTTGCCAGAGGACTCTTCCTCATGTTCAGTCTCAGTTCTGTCTGTAAAGCTTCCCTGCTGAAGCCACCAGAAGTTCCCATTTGTTGACCTCGATCTTTTGGTTTTCAAAGCCTCCATCCTTTTAACCTATCGTGGTAATGCTGTTCTGTTCTCCCCATCCCTCTCTATGTGTCTCCTCTGGACTCCTACTGTCCCTCTCTTTTCCAGAATAGCCCATATTCCAGGAAACATGAATTGCTCACGATTTCCCAGTTTTCTAGCTTTGTGCCCTAGCTTCCCTCACCTGTAAAGCCCAGATCGTGCTCACCCTTCGAGCTCCAGCTACCTGTCTCCCTCACCCCTGGCCTCAGCTGACAATCTCTCCATCTGATTCAGTGATCCACACACAACCCACCATATCTTGCATAATATGCATCGCCTACAGGTACTCAATTAACGATGTTAACATTTCTTTGTTCTATTTCTGAGCATCTCTAAACCTCTGGTCGTTGGTGTTCCCTGGGGTGTTAACTCCATCCTGAATCTCTTCCCAACCTCTGCACTGCCCTGGGATCAACAACCATGCACGGATGTGCTAACAGCTGTCCAGTCCTCTCTTTCAAACACTAAATACACATAAAATGGCTTGCACACAGCTCCCTCTGGAAGGCACCGCAGGTCTGATATTTGCACGCCTGGGGTCGCTTACTCTCCAAGCCTCATCCACCCACCCTTCTGCGTTCCCTCTTCTGACTCACTGAGTCATCCCACCATCCTCCTCATCAAATACCGCATCCTGTCAGACCTGTCTCTTCAATGTCTCTCATATTTCTCTCATCCTTTCCATCCCCAAGTTTGGGCATCTTCTCTTTTCTGAACTATTGCCATAGTTTCCTGCTGGGTTTTCCTATGCCCGGGGTAGCCACTGTGGTGGATATTTTATCCAATTGGCTCTAATTGCTTCACAGAACCAATTAACTAGTTAATCCCAGAAGTGGTTAACTATTTGTAATTGTGTGTTCTTTTTCTTAAGAGGGCTCCCAATTTGTATAAGCTTCAGAGTCCCCAAAGTTTGAATCTTTCCATAGTGACCAAGGATTATAAACTTTTTCAGGGCCTTAAAAAAAAATGGGTTGAAATAAAAAGAATATATAGGCTACAAAATAAAAAATTACAGAATTGACACTGACAATAGCAAATATGTAATTGTCCACCAAACATAACACTAGATTTAACTACTTTGTTAATTGTAAAATGCTTAAGTTATAAAAATTGAATTATATTTGAAAATAATTTGTGGGCTAAATTTTCTCACTTTGTACAATTTCCTGACTATGTCTGATGATTGTCAAGAAATCATAACCAATCATAAATTAAATGTTTTTCCTGACTATGTCTGATGATTGTCAAGAAATCATAACCAATCATAAATTAAATGTTGTTCATAGACAAATAACATAAAAAGCAAAAATATAAAACTTCCTTTCCAAAGCTTTTCATAGAAAAAAATGTATTAACATGAAACCTGGTCACCCAGTCATTTTCATGATGTTTTCTTGACTGTTAAGGTGCTATTTTGTTTTTGTTTTTGTTTTTGAGTCAGAGTCTCACTCCATCACCCAGACTGGAGTGCCGTGGCATGCTCACGGCCACTGCAACCTCGACCTGTTGGGCTCAGGCGATCCTTCCATCTCAGCCTTCCAAGTAGCTAGAACTACAGGCACACACTACCACGTCTGGCTAATTTTTAAAAATTTTATTGTAGAGAGCCAGTCTCACTGTGTTGCTCAGGCTGGTCCTGAACCTGAGGGCTCAGGCAATCCTCTCGCCTTGTCCTCTCAAAGTGCTGGGATTACAAGCTTGAACCACCACACTCGGCCCAGGTGCTGTTTTAGTGCTGATCACTTTGTAGAGCAATTGTTAATTACCTGTCTTCTTCCATACCAATATACAGTTGCATCTTGTTATTCTTGGTAGTTATGTTCTATGTAGCTGCCATGAACACTGAATTAGTGAACAGTGAGCCTTTACTCCCAGTGGAAACACAAGGTTTGGTTCCTGTAAGCTTTTGGTCGTAACACTTCATCAACAGATCAATATATAACCTTACTTTATGTATGCTTCTCTTTGAAGACACCCAATTTAATATATGTTTCTTCCAAATAATTAATTATAAACAGTACTTCTTTATACTAAGACATGAGCTGAAAAGGGTTTAAACATTTTCTG